TTAAAAACTTGTCAAACGATCCTAAAATTATTATGACACTATTTATAATATATATTATCTTATTATATTTATAATCTTATACATCAAATACATTTTTAATTTCAAAATTTCTTTATCATCAACATCGGTTGAAAGTTACTCGATCTCTCTCTTAATAGGTTGAACGGAAAGTTCCCCATCTGGTTGCTTGAAAAAAAAAAATTCTAACTATTCTTATGGTACTTTTTTTCTGCCTCTATGTTGTACGAGGAATATTACTATGTTTGTGGTTATTATGTTTGTGGTTAGATGACTAAAAAAACCATTTTGGCATGCAGTTTCTGAAGATATAGGAAAGATATTACTAAATTTAAATATATTGGACAAAGTTCAAGAACTCTATGCAGTTTAAAAAAAAAAATGAGTATGGTATCTACTGGTAGAATGCAATTTTTGTAGATAATGTATTTGTTTTTTAGGCTCTGTTGATACAATTTTGTGAAGCAAATGAGTTATAGATAACAATTACTCCAGTGGAAGCCAAACGTATGTAAAATTAGACGTGCTTGAGACTCCCAACTACTATGAGGAAGTTCCAATCTGAATTCTCATACATGATCGCACATTTTTTAAAAATTATATTTATAATTAAATATTATATTTGATTAAATAATTAATTATTATATTAATAAATTACAATTATTAATTAATTAATTAATAAATTATAATATATTTAAATAATTAAATAATTTAAAATGGGTTTAGTATATAATATATAATATAATAAAATTATATTATATTATATTATAAATAAAATTATATTATATAATATTATTCTATTTTATATTTTTTTAATTAAAATAGAATAACTCATTAATGATCAAAATTATTTTTTAAAAATTATTAATTTAAATTATTAATATAATTTTTAAAAATACAATAAAATATTTAAATTTAATCTCATAAAATAAAAATAATTTTTATTTTTTAAAAATTAAATTATCTTATATAAAAAATAATTGATTTTTTATAATATTTTTTTAAATATAAAATAAATATAATATAAAATAATTATCATTTTATTTTATTTATCATTTTATATAATAAACATTACCTTAAAAGTTTAATTATAGCACAACCCACACGCAATCGCACATTTAAGTCAAGGTCCATATCAAATCTCCAAGTCAAGTCAAGTCAAGTCATCTTCATCCTATCAACCGACAATCAAGTTCCAGATTGAACAAGTCTTCCATCAATTTTACAGTTTTTACTTTCCAACTTTAATAAGGTTTTAGGTAATTGGTTTTAATAGGAAATTTGATGAATTAATTATCTGTAAAATGTTTAGGATATTAAGGTAAAATTTGCCACTATTATGACTCAATATTAATTGTGGTATTATATTTTAATTTTATTATATTTTATTATTAAATTTTTAATCTAATTAATTTTTGGACAAACAATTAATTGAATATTGAAATTTTTCACAAAATATTTTTGGATATAAATGAAAAATTTTTGTAATTATATTTTTATTTTTAATTAATTTTAGATAAAATATAACAAAATTAAAATATTTTATGAAATAATCTATTAATACAATTTTATCAATTTCGTTACTTAATAGAAAACTCGATAAAATTAAAAATATAATAAAAAAACTCAACTTTCTAAGTCAATCACTTTGAAATTATCTTGAAAATGAAAAGCATCCGTTCCCTTGAAAATGGGGCGAATTGGTAATCACGCAAAAGACTGGTTATACAAGATCCCCCAATGATTAAGCAGGTCGGTTTGAATTTATTGCATGTGTTGACTGCAAAAGTCCTATTCGCTAGTCTCGTTTATGGCAGTTCCTGATTTGATGAGTGGCATGAGATTATATTCCAACCAAGTTTAGACTTGGGATTAACGTCATTTATGTTTATTCAAGCTCGGTTCCATCTCATAATTTAGACCTTAAATTTTATCTAAGTTTATCTAATTTGTAAATCTATACCTTTTGTCGTACTTTTTCTAAAAAAATAAAAAAAATAAAAACATAATATTTTTTTATTTAATCTTTAGTACTTTTGCTTCTTTCTTTTATTAAGTTTTAAAATATTAATAACTTAAAATAGTTTTTAACGTTTACATTACAACATTATATACCTTACTTATCCTTTATATGTATAAATTGCATAATATGTATAACTATAAAAATAATATTTATTACATAATTAAAAAATAAGTTGAACCATATTAGTGCCTTGAATATCAGATTCAAGGCTCGATTCATTTTTTTAAATCAGATCTTATTTTTATTATAAATTTGTTTTTTTTTAGCTTAATATTTTTGTCAAAATCCTTTCAAATATAGTAAGCTTTGATTTTGGATGAATAATTTAACTCTTGAATAATTGTTATATCATTATATTTGCTTTTATTTGATTTTTATGGAATTAGTAAAATAGACTTTAATTTTTTTTATATTGACATTTTAAAACATTTTATAAATTTGAAACATTTTATAAATTTGATGTATTATGATTTTTAGTATAAAAAAGAAATGAAAATATGAAAAATAATTTTGAACTATAAAAATAAAAGAATTAAGTGTGAAAAAAGGACTAATTTTTAAAATATCCACAAAAAAATGAAAAAAAAAGGAGTTGAACGACAAATTAAACTTGTTTAAGGATCAAATTACCGTCTAAATCTAAAAATTTATTTAAATTTTGAGAAGATTAGATAAAAAATTAAAACATGTTAAAATAGTTCGGATATAATTTTTAGACTCGTTTAAATTTCAAATTAAACCTTAGATAAAAATTTTAAAATCCGAGTTTAGCCTGAACCAACCCTATTTCACATATATATATATATATATAAATTTTTTATTTGTATATATGTGAATTACATATAAATTAATTCACATATATAAAAATTAAAATAAAAATTGTATATATTTTTTGTTAAACTTAATTTTTATTTTTAATTTATATATATATATATGTGAATTGAATATTATATCATTAAACTTAATTTAATCATTTTTTAAAATTTTTTATTATATAAATTAAATTTAATAGATAAGTTTAAAATTTATTTTTTAATTAAGATTAAATTTAAAAGAATTTTGAGATTATAAAATTTGAATAAAATCAAATTTAAATAAATATATAAATTATTAATATTAGATATGAATTCATTCTAAATTCAATTTGATCCGATCACGAACACTTTAAAATGTCAATGTACTTACGATTAACAATTAGGACTAAGTCAAAAAGTCTCGTGGAAATATTTTCCAGTTGCATACAATTGAATCATGTATTGAAAAATATGTCCGTGTAGGATCAATCTCTTGTAACAAATTTCAAAATATCAATTTTTAGGTCCCATTTGCATCCCGGTATGCTGCAATTGGCTAACCTTTTTGTCCAATCACACCATGCCAACATGTTCAGCAAGTGTGGTACAACGGAGTAGTTGTTTGACAATTGCAGTACTTCCATGGCAGTGTTCCGGCCTCATAGTTAACTAAACTTAAGGATATAGTAATCTGTATTATCATATAATGACAATATATAAAAATAAAATAATTTAAAATTTTAATAAAATTATATATAAATTTAATAAATATATATTTATAATTTTATATCGATATAAATTATTATTTATAATTTTTATATAAAATATAATATAAATACATAAATTATTAATATTTTATACGATATACATATATGAATTATTATTAATTTTAGAATAAGAGAGGACATTGCACAGGACTATGATCATATATTCCTTTTTTTAAGTTTTTAGGGCATTCTTCAACATAATTTTTTTTTATTATTTTAAAATTTTTCCTTAAAAATTTAAATTTAAATTAGTTTATTTTATTATATATTTTATATTTCATATTATTTTTAATTATTATAAATATTATTTATTTAAATTTTAAATAAATTTTAGCTTTTTATTTATTTATTTTACTGCACTTTATCTTATTCCGCGGTTCTTTTTATCAAATACATATTTTATTATTAGTTTTAATGTTATCAATCTAACATCTAAAATTGTTCTTAAATTCATCTCGGTCAGTCTCATTGCGAAATCAAACAGAGCCCTAGTAAAAGAGGCTCAGCCACTATTATTCCTGTTTGTTGAGCAACTCCATAATTTCGTGTGATTCGTTGATTACACGATGATGCCTAATCATAATTAATTTGTTTGTAGTATATGAAGAGACTTTGATTCTTTTTATCTATTAATTGGTTTTGGATTGAACTTTCACTTTTTAACATGGAATTTGAGCGTTTATAGACAAATTTTGAAGTCTTGCCCCCCCAATTGGGAGAATAGGAAACTTGAAGTCTTTATATAAAAAAAAGAAGTTAACTCACACATGCGGAAACTTAATCTTATAATCTCCTTTTTGCCATTAAAATAAAGTCTTACTAGCTTTCATCTTTTTTTTTTCCTCCACCTAAACGTTTAAATACAACGTTTGCTAAAACAAAATTACTTTTAAAAACAATACTATTACTTAAAGGTGTACGTGAAAAAAAACAAAAAATAAAAAATTTTGCAAAAGAAGTAACAAGAAATAAGTGTGTTATATATAAATATATTAAGAATCTACTTATATTAATGTAATTTTTATAATAATTTTTTTAAAATTTTGAATCAGAATTATTAAATTTAAAAATATTTTTTGATTTAAATGTTTTATAAATTTAATTTTAATTTAAAAAAAATATATAAAAATTACATTAATATAAGTAGATCTATATAAAGAGAGAGAGAGACACACACACGTACACGCGCGCATGAGGGACTTAGCCATTTTTCTTTGCTTGTTTTGACCTCACCTGGCCAAGGTAGACTTCCAGGGACGGTCTGTAAGCCAATCCAGAGGGGCCAAATATCCCTCCTGAATATCACCATATATATATATATATATATATATATATGTATGTATCATAAAAGCAAGTATGAGCTATAAACTCTCAGTAGATTTCCCAATGAAATACAAAATGAGTCCCAAGATGAAGTTGGTCCTACTGGGTTTGATCATTCTGTTACAATTCCAAGGCCTGAAAAGTTGTTTGGAAGAGGAGAGGATGGGTCTGTTGCAATTCAAGTCATTCATTGAATCCGATGGGTATGATGCTGATAATCTTTTCCCTTCATGGGTTAATGACCCAAAGAGCGATTGCTGTGGTTGGGAGAGAGTCACCTGCAACTCTACTACCGCTCGTGTCATCCAACTTTCCCTCAACAATACAGGGCCATATTATTTTGGGCATTTAAACTTTGCTTTATTTCAGCCTTTTGCAGAGCTCACAACTCTCGATTTGTCCTCCAATGCCATAGTTGGTTGGATAGGGAACCAAGGTACTTACGTATTTATTTATATCTTAGAATCTTATCTTCCTCATAACTTTTCCCGTAAAATATTGTTAGAATCTTATCTGCCTCATAATTTTTCCCGTAAAATATTGTGGGAAATATTAGCTATAAATTTTTAAACTCCCTTTTTTTTTGTCTAATATTTGATCAATTTATTATTTTATTATCATGATTTACAATCTATAAACTATAAATTTCTAAATTCTCTTTGTTGTTATCTTTTTCTTTTGGTATAATAGTTGATGAACCCATTATTGTATTATCATAATTTGCAGTGACATAAATAATACATTTTACAATTGTCACAATAATGAATCTTTTGCATAAAAAAAAACTTATGAAATTATTAAATAAATCATTGATCCAAAAAAATTACTGTAAATATCACCTCAGTGTTATTATATATTAGTTAATATCTTTTAAAAGTTATCTACACTCATACTTTATGTCTATTTAATTTTTAGGGTTGGATGAAAGGATAGTTATTGAACCTATTTATGGTCAAGTCAGATCAAACATAATTAATCATTCAAAAGTTTTACTCACGATCTGATTTTATTTTTTAAGTTCAAAAGATTTAAATTTTTTAAAAATAAATATTTGATATTAAAAAATATAAAAATATGTTAATATTATTATATTTAAATATACAATCCATTAATTATTTATTTCTTAAATCTCATGTTAACTTGTGCCTATAAGGTTCTTTTTTCCTCTCCCATTTATCAGCAAGTTTTTTTTTTTTTTGAAAGAAAAGCTAATGTGTCTTACTGTTTAACAATTTACTACTTCCAGAAAATAAATATTCATGATTACCTGTATTTAGTACCGTCATGTAATTTGTCGACAATTCAACTGCACCCTCTCTCTCTCTCTCTCTCTCTCTCTCTCTCTGTGTGTGTGTGTGTGTGTTGATTAACATGAATTTTCTTTTCTCTTGATATTTTACAATATTGAATTACTGGTAGGGTCAGAAAGCTCCTTACGACTTAAACAGTTGGAGATTTTGGATCTTTCTGGGAACAATCTCAACAAGAGCAGCCTAAAACAATTGAGTTCACTTAAATCCCTTAAGAGTCTGAATCTCAGTGCCAATAACATGGGAGGATTTTCATATAACTGGCGAGGACAATTTTATCCTATTCTTGCAGACCAACGAGAAACGATTCCCGTCCAAGGCATGCTTACTTACTTTTTCATGCTTATTTTCCTTTTTTTTTTTTAAATTTAAAAGTAAGTTTGATGTTTTCTAAAACCTAACATTAATGAAAAAATTGTTAAATTTTTTTATTGATAGTTAATTTAAAATCAATTAACAATAATTAAAATACTATTTATTATATTTATGTACTCAAAACACTTTTAAAAAACGTTTGATTTAGAGAATTTAAGATTTTATTTTGAAATATTATTGTTGGGTATTTAAATTTTTACATTTGGTTGGAAGTATTAAATTTTTGAAAATAATTTTTAATTTTCAATTGTATCTAAAGTTTTGGAATCAAAAATTTATTTTTTTTATGTGATTTATATAAGATTTCGAGCAAAATATCCCATATTTAACCTAAATAAATTTTTTTATTTAATCGCATTAAAAATCAACGTATGGTAATAAATTTAATTTTTTTACAAATGTTGTATTGAAAACAAATATTATGCATTTATTGGAAGTTTTAACGCAATATTTAATTTTTTTAATTGAGTATTATTTTTTTATTTTTTCATTCTAATACTATATTTGTAGGCTTTAAAATACAATAATTGTGATTATTTATTGTTTTTTTTCATAAATGTAATATTTGACAATTCATTTATTTTTTTTAACTCAAATACTGTGTTTGTATGATTTAAAATGCAGTAATTATGATTATTTATTGTATTTTTTGAATAAAAACACAATATTTGATTATTTATTTTTTTTCTCATCTCGATTTACTTGTCTTTGAATAGTAAGTAAAGATGACTATTTGTTTGATCATTAAGTGAATATGACTATTCAAAGATATTTACTTGTCTTTGAATATTAAGTGAAGATGACTATTTTCTACTCAAAGACATTTACGCAATATTTTACTGTTTTCTATTAAAAGATGATTATTTGTTTGACTATTACGTTTGTTTGACTATTTACACAGTATTTGGTTTTTCCTCATCTCCACTTATTATTTGCGTTTGTATTTGTTTTTTTCTGTTCAAAGATGACTATTCACTTGTTTACTATAGAAACGCAGAATTTGGGTTTTTTTTTTCCCCAATAAAAATAAATATTTTGAAGCAGTAATGAAGTAATTTTAGATTATTTACTGTTTTTCTTAAAAGATAAATGCAATAATTGATTATTATAATATTTTAAAAATATTTACAAAACTTAATTATTATGTTTTTTAAAAATACATACAATAATTGATTATTATAATTTATTTAAAATAATCAAAGTTTTTTAAAAAATTAAATATAATAATAATTTATTATAAATTTTTAAAAATAATTAATTACTGTAATTTTAAAAGTTAAACACAATAATTATTCATTATAATATTTTAAAAACAAATGTATAATCAATTACTGTTGCGCTTGAAGCAATAATCACAACAACACAGAAGCAATAGACAACAATCAATAATCAAATACGCAGGAAAAATAAAGCACACCAAGATTTACGTGGAAAACCCTCCAGTGTAGAGGGAAAAACCACGGGCCACCAGAAAAATCTTCACTATCAAATAATAGTTATACAAAGTTCTTCTCTAGCTAAAACTAGAGCTAATCAACAACTAGAGAAACAATTAGAGAAATCTCACCAAATAAGTGACTCAACAAATACACCCTGGATTTGTTCCTAGAGAGCTTCAAACCCGATCTTCACGGTTCAGAATGTATAACTCTGAATCATAAACCTCCTGATAAGGTTCCAACTCAATCGGACCACGGATCGACTTCCGTTTAACCAACTCTCCCTTCTCTTTTTTCTCTCTCTGCTTTTCCTGGCTTTTCTTCTTTCTCTGCTTGGTTGTCGACACACACCTTAAACAACCCCAACTCTTTTTTATTAAGTAGCTAGGGCTCTGTGTAAAATAAAAGATCAAGGCCCATGGCCTTTACTTGGTCCAAAACCACTTACATGGGACTGGACCCCATTTTCCTAACAATCTCCCCCTCCAGTCCCATTAGAAGGAGATTCATCACCATAGCAATTTCATTTGGAACTTACCTTAGCCAGGGAACTCATTCCGGCCAAGTTACTGCAAAGCTCAAGCTTTTCCCTGAGAAGTATCTTAGTCAACATATCTGCCACATTTTTATCAGTATGGACTTTCTTCAATAGCATCTGCTATTCTTCAATCACTGAACGTAACCAATGATATCTAACATCAATGTGCTTTGTTCTAGCATGGTACATGATATTTTTACTCAAATCTAAAGCACTCTGGCTATCACAAAATACCACATACTCTTTCTGATTCAACCTTAATTAAAAAAAAAACGTTTCATCCAAAGCATTTCTTTACATGCTTCAGTTGCTGCAATATACTCAGCTTTTATAGTTGACAAAGCAACACACTTCTGTAACTTAGACTGCCAAGATACAGCTCCTCCTGCAAAAGTGAACAAATACCCTGAAGTAGATTTCCTACCATCAAGATCGCCTGCCATGTCAGCGTCAGTAAACCCTTCTAGAATTGGTTGTGAAACTCCATAATTCAAACACATTTTTGAGGTACCCCTCAAATATCTAAAAATCCATTTTACTGCTTCTCAGTGAACCTTCCCTGGATTAGAAAGAAATCTGCTCACTACACCAACTGCATGAGCAATGTCAGGCCTTGTACAAACCATAAGATACATTAAAGAACCGACTGCAGAAGAATAAGGAATACTAGACATAGCTAGTTGCTCTTCCTTAGACACTGGACAAGATTTCTTACTTAGATGAAAATGGTTGGCAAGTGAACTGCTAACTGATTTAGCATGTTGCATGTTGAATCTACCAAGCACTCGTTCAACATACTTTTCCTGTGACAACCACAGCTTTCCAGCTCTCCTATCTCGGATAATATCCATACCAAGAATCTGTTTTGCTGGACCTAAATCCTTCATATCAAAGGACTTAGACAATTGTTCTTTCAACCTGCAAACCATACTAGCATCTTGTCCTACAATCAACATATCATCAACATATAATAATAGGATAATGAAGTTACCATTAGGGAATTGTTTAATATACACATAAGAATCCGCTGCTGTTCACTCACCATAAAAGAATCAAACTTCTTGTACCACTGTCGCAGAGCTTGTTTCAAGCCATACAAGCTTTTCTTCAATTTGCAAACTAAGTACTCTTTCCCTTTCACTTCAAAACCCTCAGGCTGATTCATATAAATGTCCTCCTGCAAATCACCATGCAAAAATGCAGTTTTAACATCAAGTTGCTCAAGCTCAAGATTCAAACTAGCTGCCAATCCCAGTACCACTCGAATAGAACTCATTTTTACAACTGGAGTAAAAATCTCATCAAAATCGATGCCTGGTTTCTGAGAAAAACCTTTTACTACCAATCGAGCTTTGTACCTCACTAGTTTGTCACCATCCTTTTTCAACTTGAACACCCATTTATTCTTTAATGGCCTCTTCCCTGTTGGAAGTTTAACAAGATCATAAGTACCATTCTTTCGCAATGACTCCATCTTTTCTTTCATTGCTTTTAACCAGTGCTCTCTATCCGGAGTAGCCTGCACATCTTGAAAGCTTTCTGGCTCCCCTTCACTGGTAACTAAAATAAAATCTGAACTTGGATACCTGGTAGATGGCCTGCGCTCTCTAGTAAATCTCCTGAGCTGAGACTCTACATCACTTGATGCTGAAGGTAGCTCTCCCTGCTCAACACTCTCAAGTAGAGATGATTGCTCCTTCCTGCTCAAAACTAATAGCATCTGGCTCATCACCAACTATGGCTGGCTCATTCATATCCCCAAGTTCTGTTTCTGGCTCATTTTCACCATCTGTGGCTCTTTCTTGTGAAATCCCTATCGGTGTTGAAACATCACATTCAACAGTAACTCGTGTAGTCTTCTCATTTTTCTCAAGGTCTGCTATGGTTTCTTTTTCATGAAAGACCACATCTCTGCTTCTGACTGTCTTTCTCTTTACTGGATCCCATACCCTGTAGCCAAATTCCTCATCACCATATCCTACAAACACACACTGTGTAGCTTTACTATCAAGCTTTGACCTCTGCTCTTTTGGTACATGCATGAATGCTTTACACCCAAAAACTTTCAAGTGAGAGTATGAAGCATCTTTCCCTGTCCACACTCTTTCTGGAATGTCAAAGCCCAAAGGAACTGATGGTGACCTGTTAAGTAAATAACAAGCTGTGTTGACTGCTTCACCCCAGAATGGCTTTGGTAATTTTGTCATCCTCAACATACATCTGACTTTTTTCACAATGGTGCGATTCATTCTTTCAGCTATACCATTATGCTGCGGTGTTCCAGGTTCTGTCATCTCATGCCTGATCCCATGCTTTGAGCAATACTCTTCAAAGCCTTTAGATGTGTATTCCCCACCATTATCAGTTCGAATACACTTCAAGGGTAACCCTGTCATCCTTTCAACCATAGCATGAAATTTTTGAAAATACTGCAGTACCTGACTTTTGTATTTCAACATATACACCCAAGTCTTACGTGAAGCATCATCAATAAAAGTAACAAAATATCTGCTACCACCTAATGACTCAACCTCAATGGGACCACATACGTCAGAATAAATTAATTCCAATCTATTTTCTTTTCTCTGAGAACTTTTACGAAAAGAAACTCTATGATGCTTACCAAACAAACAATAATCACATGAATCGAGAGACATACCTTTGGTCAAGGGAATGAGAGAGTGCCTTGCCAAAACCTATAACCCTTTTTCACTCATGTGTGCCAGCCTCCTGTGCCACAAGTTTGCTGAAGCATCATTTTCAACGGTATTTACCTGGTTACCATTCAATTGCATCCATGTCTTATACATTGTGCAGCATAATTTTCCCCTTGCAACTACCATAGATCCTTTGAGAAGCTTTCACTGTCCATTCTTTTGTCGGCTTTCATATCCCTCCTTATCAAGGACATTAATAGCAAGCAAGTTCATTCTCATATCTGGAATGTGTCTGACATCTCTCAAAGTCAACATGCAGCCTGTACTAGTTTGTACAACAATATCACCAATCCCAACAATCTGCGATACACTTTTGTTTCCCATCTTGGTACAACCAAAGTCTCCTGCTTTGTAAGTTGTAAACAACTCTCTCTTAGGAACACAATGATATGCCGCTCCTGTGTCAACTATCCACTCAATGCCGGGATCACTAACATGATTACAATCACCATGTGTACAAATCAAAGTAACTGAATCACTATCTGAATTCACTGCTGCAACATTGCCATCATCTGAACTCTTACCTTTCTCATCTTTTCGCTCTTGCTTTAAGATTCTACAATTTCGTTTTATATGACCCGCCTTACCACAATGGAAACACTTCACTTTACCTCTAGACTTGGATCTATGTTTAGACTTACCACGGCCTTTTGAGTCCTGACCTCTGTCGATGTTTCTACCCCTGTTCTCTGTGATCAGAGCTTGATTCCCAGGGTCTACATCTTTTCGCCTCGCTTCTTCATTAAGCATACTGTCCTTTACCATCTCCAACGTCACCTTATAATCAGGAGCTGAATTAAGAACAGTCACAACTAGAGTATTCCAGCTGTCTGGCAATGAACCCAAAAGAAATAATGCCTTTATTTCATCATCCATCTTAAGTTCCATAGTAGTCATCCGATTAAATATATCTTGAAAATCACTCAAGTGCTCTGTAACAGATCGTCCATCCCTGTACTGTAAAGTTGCAATCTTCTTAACAAGCATAACTTTATTCATACCTGTTTTTTTCTCATACAATGCTGCCAATTTTTCCCAAACAATGTGAGCATCTGACTCCTGCGCTACATGATGAAACACGCTGATATCAACCCATTTTTTGATTGTAGCCAGCGTCTTTCTACCTAGCTTCTTCCAGCTTTCATCTTTCATATCTGCTGGTTTAGCCGAATCACCCAATACTGGCTCATACAAATCTTTGCAATATAGATGATCCTCCATCATAGGCTTCCAAATTGAATAATTTAATGCTGTCAATTTTATCATAGAACCTGTATCACCCTCCATGATCTCAAACAGAATTTACTTCTATCCTGGGTTGCTTCTGTATCGATGTCTCAAAATAACTCTCGCTCTGATACCACTTGTTACGCCTGAAGCAATAATCACAACAATACAGAAGCAATCGACAACAATCAATAATCAAATGCGCAGGAAAAATAAAGCACACCAAGATTTACGTGGAAAACCCTCCAGTGTAGAGGGAAAAACCACGGGCCACCAGAAAAATCTTCACTATCAAATAATAGTTATACAAAGTTCTTCTCTAGCTAAAACTAGAGCTAATCAACAACTAGAGAAACAATTGGAGAAATCTCACCAAATAAGTGACTCAACAAATACACCATGGATTTTTTCCTAGAGAGCTTCAAACCCGATCTTCACCATTAGAATGTATAACTCTGAATCATAAACCTCCTGACAAGGTTCCAACTCAATCGGACCACGGATCGACTTCCGTTTAACCAACTCTCCCTTCTCTTTTTTCTCTCTCTGCTTTTCCTGGCTTTTCTTCTTTCTCTGCTTGGTTGTCGACACACACCTTAAACAACCCCACCTCTTTTTTATTAAGTAGCTAGGGCTCTGTGTAAAATAAAAGATCAAGGCCCATGACCTTTACTTGGTCTAAAACCACTTACATAAGACTGGACCCCATTTTCCTAACAATTACTACATGAAATTAATTTAATAATTGATGATTAATTCTTTATTTTTATAATTTATCAGTTGAATATTACATTTTTATGATTTGAAACACATTAATTATCATTATTTTTATTTGATAAATTATTGTATTTGCTATGTAATGAAAGACATTACAATAAAAATATATGATTAAGTAATATTAAATCTTCTCTAATCAAATACAAAAATTTAAAATAAGATACCATTAAAAGATACTTTTTTTTTCGAAATCATATTTTCTCTCAAAATTTACGAACTAAATGCTTACTTAATTTAACTGATGTGAATCACCTTTTGAATAAAACACATAAAATTATTTGATACAATTATCTAAAAATATGATATTCTCATTTTAATGCAGAATTATCCGCTTTCGAAAACCTGGAGACGCTGGATTTAAGTTCAAATGGGCTCGTTGGCAGCACACTGACGGCACAAAGTAAGTGTTTGCAACGTACTCCCTCTGGTAACGACCCTTCCTTTTTTTGATTGGGGTTGGAACATTGGAAAAAAACAATTACTAATTTTTACTTCTTAACATCATTTTTTTTCTTAATTCACAAAAAAAAAATCCATTTTTTCTTAAAAATTTTTTTTATTTTAAACAAGTTAGAAGAAAATATGGAATGAAAATTTACAATGTTGTCCATCTTTTTAAATTACAATCTTTATTACTTACTTGAGCTGCTATACTGACTTTGGACCTGTCAGTGTGCAGGCCAAGCCCACTCTGGCCCATTAAATATTACTCTTTTATTAATAATAATAATATGATTGTATTTTAATTTTAATTTTAAAATATTATTTAAAAATATTAAAATGTATAAAATATTTTGATTAGTTTAAAGATTAAATAAAATTGACGGACTTGGGCTAAACTTCGAAGAACAAGTCATGGATTACTCTACTTGCAAAGGGTGAAGATAAATAAATATATATATATATAAATTTATTCCTAATTTTTACAAAGAGGTTAAAGCTTGTAAATGTAGAAGACTAAACTTCAATTTTATCATATTCATCTTTTAATAGAGAGGGGTGAATTATTTGAATTAAATTTCAAGTTCATTCATACCAACCAATAAATTGAAACAATAATATTTTTTCTTTCTACAAATTTTTATATTCTTCCTAACAAGCATACTTGAGGGAGTAAAAAAAAAAAAAAAGTTTTCAATCCTTTCACCTTTCTAATTTTTTTAAATATTTTTTCATCTTTCTATTTTTCTTCTTTCTTCCCAAATAAAATTTAAGGGGTCATTTTTTTTGAGGTTTTAGAATATTACCAGATTTTCAAGGCATTTTATAGTGTAATCAAATACATAAAGGTAATAAATTATTCTGTTAATTGATTTAATCAGCATTTATTAGAAATATTTGATTATTGTGTTTGGTTTGCGATACTATCCATGTTAAGTCCATGATATTGTGAAAATTTTATTAAAGCAACCTTGATAATAATTTATCCTATATTGAACATCTTTTTCTCCAAGATAAACTATTACTAAAATAAATTAAATTTACATTTTGTATGATTTTGACATAATAAAAATGTTAACATTGTTTAAAATAAACATAAAAGGGAGATAACTTTTTACATAATATATACTACTTTTACATAATTTAGTTTATAATCTCAAATACTCACATGTCTTAGAAGCAATACGATTATTGCATTTTACGATAATTTAGATTTCAATAAAGTAAAATCACGACCAATATTATTGAGCTTATAATGTCAAACAGAGAAATATTTTCAGATTAAAGTTAGATTTTTTAAAATATTATCATATATAGATGTGTCTTGTGGATTAGAATGAGGAGTACTCCTGACAAAAATGTGGTTTTATTATGCTTAATTAGATTCTAAAAGTCTGTGTAAGCTTAATAAGCTGAAGTACCTAGACCTGAGCCAGAATTCCATGAACAAGGATAGTATGAGGTTTTTGGGATTACTCTCATCCCTGAAGCACCTTGACCTATCATTCAACGAATTGGAAGGCCCCCTTTCAGATGCAGGTATGTGGATATACCCTTTCTTTCATTTTGTTATATTGATCTCAGTTATGAATAAAATTTTAGTTTTTATAAATAAAACAAAATTTAAGTCCTTGCGATATATAAGCGATGATATCAATTTATAATAATTTTTTTGAATATATAATAAAGTTAAAAATTATAAAAATAAATAAAAAGTTGTGAAACTTTAAAAATATATATAATTACATCAGATATAAATCATTATAATCTAAAAAACAGACCAAAAGTAAAAAATTCATAGACATCGAAAATGATATTATAGTGAATTTCGAAGAAAATCTTCTAATTTAATAATTTTTATACGAATGGAAAGACATCTCAATTAATATCAATGATATTGTAAATAAATTTATTAACTATAATGAACTCAAATTTTAATATAAAAATTAAAGAATTGACTATGACTTATTTTATGAATACTTTAAGGAAGAAAATATTAATGTGTAATTAACTTGTTTGAGAAAAATGAAAAAATTTTAAATTTTGGTCTAATAATGGTATTAAATTATATGAACTTATCAAACTTGGAGTTTTGCTAAACAAATATAGTCATGGATGGAATTTGCCATTTGAGCAAATAAATAGAATATTTTTTCTAAATTTAAAACCAAAATTACGGCAATTAAATAGTCCAACATGAACATTTTAATTTCTTTTGTCAAATTATATTCATATTTAATTTTTGTAATTTTAAATTGAATTGTTAATTAAAAACTGAACACATAGCCTCATTAAAAGAAATAGGTCATCTATATATATCAACATTTTCCATGAAAGGTTGTGTTTTATATATTTATATATTAGTTTCTATCTTTCAATTGGTTACCTAAATAATGTTAACAATATATTGTATTACATAGTATTATTGAGTAAGAATATGAATTAATTACCATGTTTAAAAAGGGAAGAACAAAATATTTAATTATTATAAACTCAATGAAATCCATTTTAATTTCTATCTTCATATTTCTCTTTTTTCAAATCTTTTTTACTTTATTTTAAAATGTAAATTGATGAAATTAAAGATTTCATGTAATTGCAATTAATTGAATATGATACAATCAATAAACAAATTATGTATATTTTAAATACTATCTATGCAAAAAGTATTCATCAGATAAATATAAAAACAAACTTTTTTACATTAGAGTTACTTTAATTATGGACAAAATTATAGGACTGAATTGAAAAAATAAATCAAAACTTAATGTCAACAACAAATAAAAAATACTTTTAAAAATAAAAAATTAAATGAGATTAATTTTTTATTTTTAATAAGAAACCTAATTATTTAAACAAATCTAAATGTCAAGAAGATCTATTTATTATTTTTTAAAAAAATTATTAATTACTTGATAAAAGGCAAATTACTAAATTTTTAAGACAGAAAAAAAAAAAAACACATATTGCTATACTGAAATAAAGAAAGGCAGGGAGTTGAGGGGAAGAGAAAATAAAATAACAAAGAACCAAAATATCAAAAGCCTATAAAGAAACATGAAGGAAGACAAATTCAATAAATAGTTTTTTAAGCATGCTAGTTATTCTTTCTAGCTGCAAACTAAAGATAACTTTATACGATTGAACACTAAATCAGTGTCCTAAAACAAAAAGATTAATTACAACCTCAATTGTATAATAACATATAAAAATATATGTAAGTGTATTGACTAAAATAACTGTAAAAATTCTTTTAAAAAAATCATCATAAAGAAATATCATGAAGAGATATGAAAAAATGAAAAAAAAAAAAAAGACATAAACAATAAATTTTGAACCAAATAAGATTGCAATGGTGTAAACCATATAAAACATCACTGTTCATTTTTTGTCAATGAGAATTCTATCTTTACAAAAGTAATAAAACATAAATTCAAAATATATATATATATATAATGTTAGAGAATCTACAAACTATATTAAAAATCCTTGAGGCATGAACCATCTATTTATAATAGTGAAATGAGAGACATAATGGTTAAGGTTTTAAATATAGATATTTAATGCATTTGACCATAAAAAAGGAAAATTATATATATTTACAATATGATTTTCCAATAATTTTTGGATAACAATTAATTCAAATTTATATGCCCATAATTATTATAATTATCATGGTTATTCTTTCCTATTTGAATTGGATTCATTTTTCACATTATGATTCTAAATGGCTCCAAAGTGATATTATTCTTCATATTAATCCCACATAAATATAAAAGATAATTCATCTAAAAATATAAATGAAAATAAATATAACTTATTATATGAAATAAAATATTTTAAATTTAAATAAACTCAAATCAAAATAATTAAATGTTTGATTGATGAAGTTTATTTAAGACTGTAAATATGTTAGAAGAATAGATTATCCATATTTGATTTTTTTTTTTAACCAAAGGCTTCGACCTTCATATATTTATATAAGATTTTTTTTACAACAAGAGCAATGTCTACACCACATGATAATACTAATTGATCATCAACGGCATCTCTTTAGCCAACATTATCAACTCCCGACTATGTCTATGTTTGGACAATTCTTTCAGTAGTCGGAATATGACTCGAGGATGTTTCTCCATACCCTTTTTCACCGATGTCATTCACATCATGGCTGCCTTGCCCATAAAACTATTTCTAAAACCTTATGGGAATTTTTCCGTCCCTTTAATCCAACCCGCCACCATTGGTTCGTACTACTGCAGCATCAGCCCTACTAGCAAACCAACCTAGAACTAGAGCACAACCACAAAACAATGTTACCCCCGTGACATCCCAAGTCCCTTTAGATTTGCCAGAACATCAAGCAACCCCTAAGGTTTCATCCTCAGTCACATATGGTAGTATTGCAATACCTTTACATGGTACTGATATTAACCAATTCCTGCCAATGCCACTTCCACATATGCCACAATCGATGCGCTACCTCACAATGTTCTCGCATTCTTTTGGCTATTCTCCCATGCCCCCAACCATGGCCCAATAAAAAGAACTACTCTAGTAAGTCTAATTTTTCACCTTACAAATGGCGAACCAACAGTTTGATATTCAACACATTCTAGTAACTGTAATACCCACCACCAACAAGATCAATAAGCTCAGAGCTTAGCCTTATCTGCAAGAGACCAACAAGCCCAAGCTACCCGCCATCCTAAAATAGCCTGCGATGACCATCTAGTACAACAAGAAGCACAAAATTTTGAAGTGAAACTAGGTTAAAGCGGGACAGCAATAACCGACAAGCATTTGAAGAACTTAAGTGGTACCTCTGCTCCATACCGTTGTTAGCAAGCTAGTCCCAAAGGAACCATTGTAACTTGGTGACCTCAAATGAAACAGTGGCCACAATCAGAATAGCAAAACCGTCAGATACCTGTTTACCAAGCTAGTAGGGCACTGCAAAATGGAGAGGTAAATTATGAAGGGAATTATGCATCATTATACAAGTTAAAGCAATGAAATTTTTAAAATTTTAATTCTCTAAAACTAAGACCAATCAACAAAATTTTATAAACATACAATTTCACAAGCATGCATGAGTTTTGGCTTAGGTGGTTACCTTGGATGTCGAAATTCCTTTGATTGAATTTAGTGACCTTTTAAATAGTTTCTTAAGCCAAGAAGCTGCTCAAATGTTCAACCTTTAATAGTGATTCACATGAACTCTTGTGAAAAAATTTTTTCTAAGGTTTGGTAAAACTTAAAGCCACACTCTAACTAATAATTGTTTGCAAGACCTCTTATATTTTCTTGAGTGAAACTTTTTTCTCTTGGGTTGCTACTTTTTGTTTTTGTTACAAGAGGGGGTTGCTTGATGTTCCTTTTATAAGGGATGCATTTGTCACATTAGGTTTAATACATGGAATGCAAATTTTCACAATCAACCATATGCTAGCCAGTGTATCAAACAAAAGAAACTCTTTCTCTTGTTTTTATTTCTTTTATTTTTGGTTATACCAAAATCAAATTAAGCCTAACATAATTTGTCTTATTTTTAATCTTTCACAATTGTCCTATTGTGTGTGACCCACTGGGTTTTTTAGCATGTTAGTAAAAACACAAGCAATGTAAGCCTTAGTATTTAACTATGGATGAAACAAACTTTTTACCTTCATCACTAATTCTCCAATTAGCTAATCTTATATTTATAAATCATAATCAATGCTAGCTTCATTGCCATGACTCTCAATTGCTAAAAAAAAGTCAATATAGCTTGACAACCTATCCATGAATGATTTTAGTATATAATTAATATTCTTTCATCATATAGTATCTCAGTTTGAAAACTGAGTATAGTTTAGTGTCTACTCATTTTTATTCAACCATGTTAAGTTTTGTCCTTGACATTGATTCAAATAAGTTTTAGAATAATTCTAAACTCTTATTTCACTTTGGCCAAAGATTTCTCAAGTTAATTCAATTAAAGACAAATCGAGATTAAAGACAAATCGAGATACTTTTTTGATCACATAATGATGAATCCTATCTTGATTACTTCATGTATTTTTATATGCCTGATGTTATACCCAACAATATTCAACTAGAGCATTCTTGGTTAGAACCATAAGTAAAGTCAAAGCATAACATTTATAATATAAGATCATAAATAATTACAAGTTAAATGATCATTTATACAACCATCACATGAAAATATAGCTATAGACGTTTTGTAAACTATCATATGGCATTCTCATATAAGATCATAGCTCCATTGTTATCATAATAAATTGTTATCCAATCAACAATGCTATACAACACTTAGTTCAATTACAAACTTTTTAATCCAAACAGCCTCTTTTGTAGCCTCAGATGTATAGATGTTTTTTACTTTGGTTGCAACAATTATACTCCATTTGGAACTTTTTCAACTCATTACCCCATAATTCGGAGTAAAAACATAGTCACTTTAAGACTTGTTATCATCTTTGTTGAAAAAAAAGCATTCATCAAAATAGCCTTCAACAAGGACTTTGGCTCCACTA